GTTTCGGCTAACCTTGTTAAAAATGCAAACTTTATTGGAACTGTTCTGTCGTTTTTCACATTTGTGTGTCTTCTTTTATTAAACTTTGGTGTGCCAATAATTAAGTCAATTTATATTGCGAGTGTTGTGATAATTAACGATGGTGTAAATCGACAAGAAATTATATTTGGAATATATGGCATTTGTAAGCAAATCACCCAAATCGACTCAAATGTAACTATGTTAACATGCATAAGTGATGGTGTTGATAATGACGATTTGGGCATTTCAGCTAAAAGCACAAAATTATTGTTGTCCATGTATACCATTGGTAATATACTTACTTGTTAATTATTTAAAAATATGAAATATTATATATAACAAATTAGTTATTTTTAGGTGCAATGACATCATTCGTATTAATATTGCTGTGCATTCGTAATCATATGACCAACAGAAGTCCGGCGTTGATTTTCGCATTATCCAATTCTTTGATCATTTTGTTAGCAATAGGAGGACAAATTGATCTTTTTTTAAAAATCAATAATTTTTATCCTATAACTGATGGTCAATATGGATTAACTAAAAAATTTGGCAGTAACGGGTTTGTTATCGGGATTGTATCTCTTTTATTCTCATTCTTGTGTACCTTTTATGATATTGGCTGACTTGTGCATTTATAAACGCAGAACAAAGACGCAAGGCTGAAAAAGAACATCCTGATGATATTAAAGAGGGAAAATAAATTTTTACAGCTCTATCCAGATTTGGGTAAACCGAAAAGTGTAAATCGACAAGACACTGATGGATTTTGCATTAGTCTGGAAATAATATAGTTGATAATTTCATTCAAATTTTAAAATGGAACAATTTAAACCTATAACGGAAGGATTTTGCTGTTATCGCCAAACAAAAAAAGCCAACTTTGATCATGAAAACACATTGCTATTATCATATTAAACTTGACGCGATTTGAATTTCATATGAATGCTCTGACTCATTCACAGATCAACAATTAGGTGTTTACTATTATCATGACTAATACAAAAATGATGTTAATTTCGTTAGCATAAAAGATAATAATAATTATGTTTTACTAATTAACTCCAAATTAATTTTAACAAAAAATTACATTGATAATGATATATATACTAAATCAAATTTAGGTAAAATATTGGAAGATATTTGATGTATTTGATTAGTTTGATTAGTCACATTCTGTTATCGTTATAATGATTTCAGCTTGTCT